TTCCTGAGCTGGGTGTCAGTTCAAGGAAACATCATGCAGATTTCTTAAGACTACAGTGCCTATGTACAGGGAAGTACTGAACTGGGATAGGCCTGACTTGTCTAATTCAAACAAAACTGCCCAATTTGGGCTTTATCATTACAAACGTGGTAGCCGTGGAAGTTATTATTGGCTTTCTGTTCTCAGCTTCTTTACTATTACTCGGTTAGCTTCAAAAAGAGCGACTGTATGTTGCCTGTATTTTCTTGCAGAAAAATGGTGGAAAAAGCTACTGAATTAAAGTTAACCTCTCAAAGTATAATCATTGACTGAATGTGTTCAAATAGTCCCTCAGATAACTATGGGATAGTAAGCATTAAGCAAACAAATATCTTTCCATATTTCATTTTCCACCTTTACTATACTCTCAGTAGAAAAGTGTATCATTGTTAAGGGGAATAATTCATATAATGGAAGGGTAGTGTTCTGGATTTAGTATATTGCTTATTGTTTCAGGATCTAAAATATGTTCAGTATTAAGATTTTAGGAGGCTCTTACTCATTTTGTCCATTTTTGCTAAGAATAAGTATATTATAAACGTCACAGAAATTCTTACCAGTGTGCCTATTCCTAATTAAGGGCCAGCCGGTTGTTTTGAATCAGGGGCAGGGAAATGAAGTATCTAAAAACAAAGTAATCTAATGTCTAAAAAATGGTAACTTAACTAAAAGCCCACATTTATATAACCTCATCTTTTAAAATAAATGGTTTTTCTTTTATTGATATGTAAATGTAGATCTTGATGGCATGAAAGCAAGAAGGAACTTAGATGTTATATTAAAAATGAGATTTGGAAAGGTTATATTACTAGTTTCTAGAAAGGAATTAGAAGTTGTTTCTTATTTTAGCATATAAAATTTTGACAATTACAATAAGCTAAAAACGGGATGATTTTTGTCATATTCTCTGAGAACATGTTATCTTTTTACAAGATAGAATATGGTTGTATGTAGGCTATTATTTCCACACTTAGTGGCTTGGGGTACAGTAGTATACCTGGTATAGAGAGCTAATTAATATGCTTGAGTTATTTGGGTATGTAAATGTAATTATACTAATAGCTTTAAATTGACCTTGTGGACAAATTTAGAGATTAAATGGTATGAGCCGGTAATCAGTTCAGCATTAGAGCAAAAGGTTGAAGAGTAAAGGTGTCCATCATGACAAGGACTGCTTAGCATTTTGATATAAAAATGTGTATTTGCGGCCCTCCCTGGTGGCGCAGCGGGTTAAAGCACTGCACTGAGAATCTAAAGCCGCTTCTGCATGAGTTCGATTCCCGCCTGCCCCGGAGGTGACCACATGG